ACCCGCATAAGTCTATGAGGAGGGATTACGCTTCAATTCAAAGTTTATTGTTGGTATGTGAACTGTAACAATTCTTCTTTTAATTATGAGTTATTGAGCTAAAGATGAACTGAATGAGTTGAATTTTAGCATTTTTCGTTGAGGGAACCAGAAGAAAATTAAACTTAAATGTAAATGTATGTAAATAATAATTCCAATAGTAATAATTTTTATTGTATCTATCTTTTACTTGCAGGTAACTATGTACGTATAGGAGTCTCAAATAGGAAGGAATGCAATTTTGGTGACCCCGATCGGAAGGATAAAATTGACTTGTCGATTTCTGCTCTGTGAAATGTTTCGAATTAAAGGTGAAAATATTTAATTTACTTACATTGATTTGGAAGGTTTCTAGAAGTATAGAAAAATGATTGAAATACTTTGATATATTTCCTGCAAAATAATCTTAAATATTTTACGTAATGTGGCAGAAATTTCCTTTTGATTTGCAACCCCCAGATAAAGATATTTTTTTTTTTGGTAGCATTCATCTGTCGAGTATATTTTTGTATTGCCCGCTGCGTTTGGACCCATAACTCAGGGGTTTATCTGGGGAAAACAATCTGAAACCAATAATTCTTAACGCCTGACATAATGTACCTCAAATGTTTTATTCGTGTTTATCGGCAGGCACTTTTCCACAAAACTTTGTTTTCGCTTTGGATATTCTTTTTTAGCAATTTCCAAAATATGGCATAATATGAGAGGCCACTTATTGGCCGTAATGGGCATCTTGATAGGAGGCCAAAGGAAATACAAATACAATATTTGATATATGACCCAGAGAGTGGCAGAGAGCAAAGAGACTTTTCCCAGCCCAGTCGAAAGATGCAATATACTCGGGGTTTCCACTAATTTAAACTGCGGAAAAGGTTTCATCAGGATCATTAATAAGGATATCTTTTCTTTGTGCTTTCTCCTTTATATTTTTTTGTTGTTCATTTATTGCGCAGCAAGGCAGCAGAGATCTTCTCATGGATTCGCGGCAATGCAAATATTTATATAAGACACAAAACTTCTGTCGGGGGGGACTGCGAACAAAAGGGTTAATGAGTTCAAGCAGCCTACTTAGAAGGCCTGATTAATGATCCAGCCAGCACATGTATGCAAAATATCAGGATACACCATTAATTAAAGGCAGAGGATCTGCCAAAGAGAGCGAAAAAATATGTAAATTTAACAGAAAAGGAAAAAAAAAAAACAAAACCAAACGCCACATACAAAATAGAAGAAAAAAATTCATATAATTTCCAATTATATATTCATTGAAATGACATTTGTGCCGGGGCAGGCGGAGGATGAGATCTCTCACCTTGACTCAACACCCCATCATCAGTCACCTCAGCTCAGCTCAACTCTCACCCTGTCAAACGAATTAATGATTGCACTGTACAGTACCACCCGAAAGGGTTACCAGAAATCATAGTTACAGAATTACTATTATGTATCTATAATAAATGTTTGTTTTCTACCGTCGACTCTGTATGCAAATGCCATGTGCCCGAGACACTCACACTCAATTAACCCTGTTGTCAATCACATGCAAATATTGTGGTTCCTTCGCACAAAATAAAAAAAATAAGGAAAACGTTCCATCAATCCGAATCCAAATCCAATGCAATTTGTTGGACTTCCCTGCCGTTTGTTGTGGTTCATTAGAATTGCTCAATTATTCCATCAATATGCATTTGTTGCTAATCGAATTCTTGCATATTTAAGTGGTTTCGGTGAAAGCCGAAAGAGAGTTTTGGTGAAATGTTTGTAAATTTTCCTGGGAAAGTTTAGTTAGCGTGACGCGTCTTCTAAGAGTAAGTAGGGAATATTTGCATATAGAAATACTTTAAAAGGATTTCGATTGATTTGGTAAAGGAATCAGGAAACCCATGACTGATTTTCTACAATTTTGGAATCGTGTTTAATGTTGTATGCAAATGCAGAAGCAGTCAGGGAATCTTGCTAGGTACCTCCTGTGTAGTTTTAAATAGTTTTAAAAATCAGATACAACATAAATTACTTTAATAAACTATTACATTCCTTTTGCTAGAGTTTTGAATGTCTTCCTATGCTAGTTCTCATTCCACTATTAAAATTCAGCAATAACCAATTTACAACGTTGTCGGTACAAGCTTTAAACTCAAAATCAACATCAGACTGTTCCTTCCCATTCCACAGATGTGAAATGCCTTCGCTTCACAGCGTTCCACCACACTTGGGTGCGAGTTAGCGTCCCATGCCATACCCTCACATCACATCCTTCGCGATGATCAATCAAAATCTGAATTTTAATGTTATGCGGTGCATGAAACCCTAACAACAGGAACAGAAATAACCATATCCTGTGTGTGTGTGTGTTGAACAACAGCGACAAAAAAAAAAACAAGCAGAAATGAAAGACAAAAGTGTAAAAGAATTTCCACACAGGGGTGCGGCACTGGCATATTTCTAACCCCTTTTTTTTGTGTTACTGGTGAAAGGCAAAATATTGGGAAATTAAAACAAAAAAGCAAAGTGCAGAAAAGAAAGAAAAGGGGCAACCGACTGGTTACCAGTAGCGACTGTCGACTGCCAATTGCCGCAAGGAAAATAGTAAAAATTGTAAAAATCCTATTAAGCGTTTTCCGGACGCGGAGAGTCCTGCTGCTGACACTTCACTCTCTCTCTCTCTCTCTCTCTCCCGCTTTTCGTGGGGGGTAGAGTGTTGGCTTAAATGTCTAATTTAAATGCATGCGCTTTTATGAGTAACAGTAGCAGACAGAGATTGATGATTTTTTGGGGGTTCTGTTTTGAGAGTCAACTTTTTCCTATACAAATAATTGCTTACAAATTTTGTGGCAGAGATTTTGTCGCCTCCCCCCGCATTACAAGCAGGTGCAGTTATTCCCTTAAGAAATCTACCCCCAGATACATCCAACAACATATCCAACTCCTTCACATGTGAATCTAACATGTAGCTGAACAACAAAGAGCAAACGCACTCGCCCTCACATATGATATGATATGATGTCATCTAATCTATTTTCATGTTGGACAATTTATGATCTCTAACAAATTCAGTTGGCTATGCTCACTTAACAGCAAAGTGAAAAATATCTTTGTTCCATTGTGAGGTGTATAGAATTTTTAAAGCATTTATCGTAAATTTTCGATCGCATCGTGGCGGAAAGGGGACAGACACTGACTTGGCCAACCCTTAACCACACACAGGCTCTAACACACATCCTGTCGTCCAAACAATGTGCCGCCCCAGACGAGATTAGGAAATGGAAAACAATAAATGGACTGCTACTCGTACTACTGGCTGGGGCATGCTTATCTGCCACACAACGGATGTCATTAGGACTCATTTAAAGAGTGGCCTTTGGTCAGGGATACGGTGGATATGTGTGATAAAAGATTTTCGAGTGCACGTAAACACCACAAAAATCTATTAACCCAAGAGCCAACAATTGGTTGCGCCTCTGCAAAAAGGGTCGACCGTCCAAATAAATATGTCAATATCGAAAGCAAAATCACCGCCAACGCACCGATCGGATCCAGTCAAAGAGTCGTACCAAAAAAAATTAGTTCCACCCAATTGAGTTTCGCAAAATGCAATTTCTCTTTCTAAATTCGGTGGCATGCAGCACATTGCACGCTGCACGCCTATTAGTTCAGGTAGCGTCAGGCAGATATGGGACTCGCAAATTCAGAGTGTACGCGGTCACACACCCAAAGGGTTACAAATGTATTTTGTGTCATTTAGTAAAGGTTCATAAGCACGCGACTGGAGTGTATTTTTAGTTTATTAAATATTTTTTCCCTAACGCTACAAAAACAACAAATAGGAAATAGCATTACTGTTTTTCAGTTTACTTCTTTTAATTTTCTCCTGTATTTTGTCTATCCAAAATAGAAAATTCAGATAAATCTCTCAGCTTTCGTTTCTTATAAATGCAGAAGTCTTGCAGTTCTTATGTATTTTTCCAGCTCCGTTGCAGCTGTTCCTGGGAAAAGTTCCCACAAAAAAAGCAAGAGCATTTTGTATGCATTTGTATACCGTTTTATTATGGTTTCTGCCGATTTTAGATTTTTATTAATTGCTGCAAATGTACAGCAAATTGAATGCATCACAACATTTCCACTCGAATCAATCAAAAAACCTTCGAAATGAAAGAACATCGAAGAAAACGCATAAAAAGCAAAGTCATAAATATTTTGAAAGGAGCCGCTCACAACAACAGTCAAATCCCCCCCCTTCCATGGAAATAAATAAAATGCAGCGTGAATTTAAGAAGAAGAAAAAAGTGCAATAGGCAACAAAATTTCACACAGTAAAAAAACGCAAAATTAACCCAAAAAGAATGCAGAGGGGGGGGACCAACCCTCCTGGTGGTTGCCCAGCCCATTAATGGCATGAAAGAGAGGTACCACACCCTACACCGTACACCGTAACTGTTCTCGGTGTAGTTTTGAAAACAGTTTAAAATTTGATTCGGGTGCGAATCGAAAACGGAGGGAAACATAACCCTTTTTTTCTGTGTGGGTCACTGAAGCGTTTGCGTCTGTCCGAGCGCTAAATAAATCACTTCTCTTCGATTAATTCGCTTGCTGACATGTGTGCGAGGAGGGTGCACACACACACACACACACACACACACACACACCCATGTCCCATGTTCCGTCTGAAGGGGTTTATTTTGGTGTACTACTTAGCTCCGACCGCCACTCATGTCAAATTTTGGCTTTTTGCTCTGCTTTGTAGTGGCATGGAAAATTGTCCATGGGTGTAGAGGTCATAAGTTATAAATTAGTAAAGTACTTTAAAGTCCTGGAAGAGGCAGGGGGATTTTATTTTTTACTCGTAGAAAAAGGGTTCCGTTTCCACCACCTTTCCACATCATTGGGTTTCCTTCTTCATTTTGTTGTTGCTTTTTTACACTTTTAAGTGCATTGATTAATTTTTATTTTGATAGCTTCGAAATCAATATTGTTTTTGCAAATTTCTTGTAAATACCCAAAGGCACCCGAAGACACACAAGCAGTTGGTGTGTGTAATTTGTCGTCGTCATTTGTAACGCCCAACTATGATCCCCTTGATGTTTGCCACTTAGCCAAAGGGTTCGCCATTTATTTTGCAAGGAATTTATGAAGTGGAAGGGCGCACTGAAGTTCAGTTTAAACTCCGTGAGAAAGATGACCGAATCATATTGTGTGCATTTCCAAGAGTGAAAATACAAATATATACAATTAAATTGTGATGTAAAATGTACAGACAACAATTTTACATTTCTTCACAGCGAATTAAATTCCACACCTCGGAGTCTGCGAAATTGTCCCTCTGCAATACAAATAGTTTCTATTAAGATAAAATCAAATTCAATTTGAATGATAAAAGCCACACCACTCACCAAGCTTGACATTACGCAACCGTTCACTTTCAATTCAAAACGTCTCTCGTTGCTAAAACCATTTGTCCTTAAGGTGTCAATAAATGAGTCTAGGTTTTGATAGAATACATGGTATATGGTGCATGAATTTGCCTCCAGATAATGCAACCTTTTACACTCTCTTAGTACAATTATCAAAATTGAGGCGAAGATATCATGGTGTAGATTACCGTGATAATACAATTGTAGATGCTCCAGTGAGGCTGCGTACCGTTCAATGTCACGATAGTCTATAAAAGAACGAACCATCAATCTCAGAAATTTGAGTTTGGGACACTTTGGCAACGTTGTGAAAATTTGGCAATTATACAACTCGAATTCTTCCAACTCAGGATATTCAACATATTGATTTGGAGATGTAAAACATTCTTTGTAATTATACAGATGTAAGACTCGAAGTTTTTTCATTTTTGAAACGATTTTAAAAACATTTCGAATATAGTTTTTCGGAGCAACGTGCAATTCTTCCAAGTTAACTAGTTTTCGTAATTTCTGAGCTAAAAAATGTTGTACAGTTGTCAGGAAATGTTTTGTTTTCTAGACGATTTTTGTCTTACCCTGATAGTCTGAAATGTCTTGTACACTCAACAATTTGCAGTCTGCATTAATGTACTGAAGGAGGTCCGATTCTTCATAGTCCGTTGAGATGTTAAATAATAAAGTAATATTTTTGAGTCCTTTTATTGCCAGCACATATTTGCATGCGCCGAAATTTAAATTCCTAACAACTTGCGTCAAATTTTTGAGGTTAACACAATGCTTTGCTATTAGTTTACAAGTTGCATAATTGAGACTATAACTATTTGAAATTAAGCAAGAAACAGTCGGGCCGCATATTGTGAGAATTGTTTTTAGTTGGTGGACTGTATACTTGGCGCACTGAAGCATCTTATAGGCTTCGCGAGCGTGGTGTGCAAATGCAGATTCAAGTTGTTGGTTGACTTGGGCCAAATTCAGTTTGTCTTTCTCTTTAAGGTATCCGAACACCTTATCAAGCAACTCAAGGGGTAATTCAGAAAGCATTTTGACTTAGAAAAACAAACACAAACACTTTTTAGAATCGACAGACAGGAAATGCCATTTAGTACATTTATCTCAGTGATGGGGTAAACCCTGTGTGTGCGATTAATTTGACCGATTATTTATATCGATTTGAAATCAATAAAAAATGTAGACCAAGCCCTTGGCTATTCTCTGTCAGTGAGGATTTTCAGTGAATATTTTTTCAAGGCAAAGAGAATCGAATTCGAATCCGTTGCGGGGATAAATGTTCCCAGGCTAAGCGGCTACACTCTGAGCCGACAGCCATGGGACATTTGACTAAGTAGCAACCATTGACCTATGTCCAAGCACATTTATTGAATTTTTTGTGCGATTTGAATAGGGAAATGGGATGAAAATCTGAACCCCCATCCCATTATTTTCCTCACTTTGATCTGTTTGCGGCGCGTGCACAGAATTTGTCACAGCCATCACATGTCAAACGATATGGATATGGCAGATGAGTTCGAGTGGCGACCAATTGATTTGCATGGGATCGGAGAAATTAATATATTTCGCCCAAAATGAGTGACATAATTAAGCGATGACCAGTCTGACCGGACCGGCGTCACTCTGGGGTCATAATTCATAATAATGAAGTGTAAATCGCCTTCAGGACCGACCCTAGTCATAATCGGCTTTCGATACAAAACAAAAGGCCTGCTCTCTATTTTTCCAGGGGACGTGCAGTCACGTGCCCGTTGCCTGCCCTCTAATCCGTGTCGGTGTCTATCCCTCTCAGTGAAAGTATCTCGGGTCTTCTGCTTGGCAAATTTGTAACGCTTTTTGATTTCTCTACGGCCGTCCTTCCGTTCCTACTTCCGATGTGAAAGGCAATCGCATAAACTCTGATCCCTTTTTGATCTCCTTTCTTTATTGTGTGTTGCCGTCTGGACATTTGCCTGCTACCTACTTGAACCATGGATTAAACCCTATCAATTGTCCTTGGGTAAGAAGTGAGCCAACCTCGTGTCCTCTCTGCCGCTCTTTATAGTTCATTCATTGAGCTGTTCGCTTGGAAAAGGGTTTTGGAGTGTAATTACAATTTATTCAAGGTGGCGATATTTTCTTCACCTTTTAGTCTTTTTTATAATTTTTAGAATATATAAAAATCTCTGCTCGCTTTCTCTGCACGTCCATTACTTATCGCTTCAACTGTTAAATCGAGTCCACATCACCCATGGAGCCGCATGGGTCTCCCATGGAGAGACAGGCACACCGATTGGTGTGTCCAACTACCAAAAATAGGTGGCACTGATTTAATGGGCGGTCGCTGGTCGGTGGTCGATGGGTCTGCCATGTCTCAGGCATTTTCAATTTTGTTAATGACCCAAAAGTGGCGTAAAGCAATTTATACCGTCCAGAGTCTCGTCACTCACACACACAGAAGACAAATAATAGCGCAGCAGGACATTGACAACAACACCCGAGCTATGGATAGCTATAGGAATGGGTGTGGGTACAGGGATAGAAACGAAGTAAAACGAGACTATCGACTGGCGGTAATTGACTGCCGTTCGATGGTCGGTCACTGGCAGATAATGAAGCGCAATTGTTGCAGTGCTGCGATGCATCATTAATCATATTCTACGCCTTCAGTCGAAGGAGTTACCTCTCGGAATGACTTCTTTTCCACTAATTTAAGGTGTTGCCTCTCTCCATCTCTCTGTAAATCATTCCATTTCTTATACTTTTTTGTTCAAACATTCCTGGACCTCCTGCCGTTTGTGGGTGTTGACATAGGCTCTTTATTTTTTGTATTTTTAGTTTTTCCACTCGTGCACCATGAATCACAAGATTAATGAAAGGCATTGAGCAACCGTTTAATGGTTGCCTAGTCAATTGTCAATTCAACGAAGGCTTCTCCTTTTGCATCGGTCTTAAACATCAAACAATTAACTGGCCGGCAAAGCTCTCTCTCTCGCTGGCTTGCGGGCACTTTGATATTTGATTTGGCGCTTCCTAGACACAAGCCACATGTGTGGATGTGTATCTGTCTCTTAAAACGGAGCTTCAGCACCGTTTGTGGCCATATTGCGTTTCACTTTTGTGCCCCACTTTTCTGGTTCGTTTTCGCATTCGTAGGGCGTTGTTTGTCCGGCCCTTTTCCGCTAGTGTAGGTGGAAAAGTGGGTCAGCAAATGTTGATTGTGTGCGCGGGGGAGCTGTGTATTCTTTCATGGGTTAGTGTACTTTACTGCTAAAATCAATAGACTCTGGCCCTAGCTCTAGCTCTAGCTCTTTCGCTGGCTAAGTGTAATTAGCTTTGACTTAAAGTGCCATGCCATGGGAAGTTCAGGTTCTTTGAGGCTTTTTGCCAGGGGTTAATGGATGTGAATGGCAAAATGTGCTCAAGTTTTTGTAGTCAAAAATTATAGCTCCATATTGTGGCTTTAAATATGAATTGGTGACCCCGATAAAGAGTTCTTGCCTTCCAAATTACAGATAGAAAATACAATTATGTACTGTAATGTTTTATTTATAGCGAAAAAATGATTCTAGATTAAGTTGAAATTAATTTTAATAGGAGAAATATGTGCAATGTGGCCTTAAATGTGTGTGTTGGTGACCCCGACGTCATGTTAGAGTCCTTGCTAAAGAATTTGTAGCTAAATTTCCAATTGAAATTCCGTTAAAATTAATTTTGTTAGAAGGAATAGTTGCTGTACGGCTTCAAGTATGTGTTTGGTGACCCCGACGTCATGTAAGACTACTTCTTGTAAATTTCTATCAAAAATTAGAGTCTACATTGATTTGGAATTAATGAACGTATGATCATAGGCCCCGCCTGTGCCAGTTGTGCCAGGCATTTGCATCTCACAAGGATAACTTGCATAGCTGAAAGACCAGATTACATATAAAAGATACAATAACAAATACAAGATTCACTCTCACTTCATTTGATTGAGTGGAAAGGATTGGTTGTTCCCCATATTCATGCTCATGCCGTACAACTGACTGCACATCTCTGGCGGCACAAAGGCACCAGGTCCTGCTCCTGCCCCAGTTCCAGTTTCAGCGGCACAAAAGGCCGAGCAGGAATCGGGAGACAAGCCAATGTCCATGCCGTTGGGAAAGTGATTGAAATTATTGCCCTGTGCAGCAATCGGTTTGTAGTCGGAAGAGTACACCGTTTGGGTCTGCAGAGTATCATTGATGGCGCCGCCTGCAGCGGCATAGTAGGCACTGCTGCTGGCTGCATTCATGCCAAACACTGCCGTGGGGTTCATTGCCGGCATAGACATGGACATTGGTTGGGGAAGGTACTGCTGGGGACCCATTGAGCTGCTGAAACCATCTTGAATGCCCGGATAATAGGGTTGCGCTCCCATACCTGGCTGGAGATTGTTGAACACCTGTGGAGTGGCATGCTGGGCCTGAGCCAAGGATTGCTGCACATTTTGCTGTGCCGTTGCCAAGTATTGCTGAATATTTTGATTGTACTTTTGAACATACTCGTAGGCGGCCGCAGCATCGGGAGCCTGGCAGCTCTGATCTGTTTGGCTTCCACATCCAGCCATCGATGGTTGGTAGGCAGCGGGCATGCCCGGATGGCTGCCCATGGAGGCGGTAGACTGAGTATAGCCACTTGTCGAGGATGTATCATAGCTGTTGTTGATCTCAGCATTACTTTGTGACATGTTTACGGCCTGGCCAGCAAGTCCACGTTGTCCTGCGAGGGAGGATTGATCCATTCCCATGGCTGCTGCATACATACCATTCGCTGAAGCAGAAGTTTGCATGGCATACATCCCTGCATTCGGTGCTGGCCCTCCGTTTGGCATGGCATACATTCCGCTATTCGGTGCTGGCCCCCCGTTTCCTGGGCAGAACATGGGCATGCCCATGGGCATGAATGGAAATGGCGCATAGGTCATGGGGCCCGACGAAGACAGCTCCTGTGGGGGAGGCATACCCTGCTCTGGCATTCGACAGAAACAGCATGAGCCCATAGGGCAACATTGTGTCGAAATGTGCGACTGGCTTTCGCCGACAGCTGAAGTTGGTGCGGCACACACACCGGGATGGTTGACAATGGTATCCTCCGATCGCGAACCGCTTTCGGGAAGTGCCGCCTGGCTCTGGCCGCCAGCATCGGCGCTCCAATAGCAGCACTCTGAGGCAGAGGTATGTGGCATGTAGGCATCAGTCGCCAGCTGTGCACGTGAGCTGTTTCTACAGATGGGATCTGCTTGGGATAAGATACGATCTGTGGGGTTATCTTGGGGGTTGGTTTCTTGGGAGTTGGTCTCACATTCACTGAAGCTGTAGCCCTGATGATCCATGACTGTGCCCTGCTGCTGGCCACTCCCTTGCCCCAAAGCTATGCGATAATTTGAGCTAAAAGTCCAAGAGATATCGACAGGACAATTCAATAAAATATAAATTCCCACTTACAAAGGCCTACTCAAGCTCTTAGATTTGTTCTCAGATTTTTCTAACATCGAACACGATGGCACAGGTCCAATATTTGCATCCTTTGGCCTGTATGTTTTGTAGAGTTCCTCAAAGCTGTCAATTGAATTTAGTATTTGTCGATTTTCACTCAAGTTCTCCTCGTTCTCATCATCGCTGCTATCATCCGAGCTTCTGGCCATTGCTATTCGGAGAGCCTCGCTGCTTCCAAGGTGCTCCAAGATGTTAAAATGTTTCCAAAAATTAATTAAATATTTTTACAACATTTTGAAGTAAATATCTGTGAATACTTGATATCACAAAAAATGTGATTAATACTGGGAGAAAAATGGAATAGCAAAAATAAATTATTGTTAAAAAATAACTATTTTGATTATAAATATAAATATTATGAAAAGAAAAGAACAAATAGGCTCAACGTACAAAATATTGAATTATATTTAAGAATATTTAATCAATATGTAAAAAAATTAATTTAACCACAAAAAGTATTTATTTAAAATATGAATTCTTATTTAAATCAGTAATTTTCATACTTAAGCTAAGAACTTTAATTTCATTTTAAAATTTCCACGCGGTGTAAAAATATCAATTTCTTTATTTATTTTTGTAATCAACGTTTTTACAATCTTTTGCCTGTTTGTACCTGCTTGGAAATGGAAAAGGTTGCCTTAAAAGTCCACAATTTCGTGCAGCAACAACCTGTGCCCTGCCATAACATATGCGCTACTAATTTAACTAAATTAACTACAAATATGTTATCATAAACTGTCGCTCATTGGGCAGGCGCCATAAAGAATTCGTGAAGAAAAGACAACAGCAGCAATCCAGAACACGCGACCAACCCGACACCAAGTTCGAGCATTTGCATACCCTATAATTTAGCCCTCGCTTATCGTTGCCAAAAAATCAAGCCACACGCGAAAAAAAAGAGCGGACGGACGGACGAGGTTCCCCCCGAGCGAGCCTTGCTGGAAAGTACCCTAATTTCCAGGGTCGCTTATTGTCATGTCACGACAATTAAACAAGTTTTTGTGTGTGTATTTTCCACTGCGCTTTTGAGCGCGATTTAAATTAAGATAGGCGGCAAATTAGCGGCCCAAAAGGTTTGCATAATTATTATTTGACTGGCGAGAGCGTATCTGGCGCCGCAGATCGTTGCCTTCCACAGATGTTACACTTTTTTGTATTTTTCGCCGGGGTTAAATGGGTGCTCAGGGGGGTGTAAGACCCCGATGACTCGCGGTATTTTGCCGACCAAGACTCGGATCTGCGGTTAAGCGTAACCCGTTTAACCCTTTTTTGGTTTGCTTCGGGGAGTGTGCCTGGCATGACAATGACACAACGGGAAAATGTTCTGTGTTTTTCCTTTTAAAGGTGACATATTGGTTTTCACGATTAAGATCGCTAAATGTTTGCTTTTGCCGGATGGATGGACGAATGAATGAATGGTTTGCTCTCTTAGCCTTTTTGTCACTGCCCATAAAGGAAAAGGGTTCGAGGAGTTTCGTTCATTGGAAATGTTTCGTAAAATGTACTTCTATTTATTTGCTATATTTGAGTTGTGCTGACTGATAAATTGTCAAAGTAATTTTGACTTCCTTTTAAAATTTGAGTTATGAATTCTGTGGTTTATCGTGCCACAAAATAAATTATTTCTATAAGTCTGCCAGTTGCTATTTCGGTTCATGTCCACGTTTCAATTAAAGTCTACGAGGCTAACAGTTTTCTCTTAACAACTTCAGAGGTTTAGTTGCCTTTGTCGTTGGGTTCACGTGAAATTTTGAGACGTTTAAAGGCAAAGCCAGATCAATTTCATTCTCTTCTATGATTTATTGAGACAGATAAAATGTCTACGGATAAATTGAAAATAGTTCAAGCTCTTTTCTGTCACATAAAAAGATTATTTTTTAAACGAGCACACCCGAATTTCTGCATAGAATATATTAATAAATGATCAATTCATTCGAATAATTTTAATAGACTCTTTTTAACTACATTAAATTGTAGACACTTCAATGTGGACACAATCTATCTCTGTATTATAATTCCAATTGAAAACGTATTGCTTCATGTCAGTGCCCAAAAATATGACAATTAACCTTCTGAAACATCTGAAATAGAACGTTTTTTTTTAAATAAATGTTTGCTCATTGTTCTTTTTTATAAAATTGTATTTAATTTAATTTGTTCTCATATAAAAGTTGTTGTGTTTAAATGTTAATTTATACATTCGATTAATTTTTCGTTTAATGTTTTAATTTTCAATGCCGAAAAAGGGAAAATAATAGTTTGAATTTTGCTAAAATCAATTATAATTTTAAAATATGTTTTTGTTTTGTCCTCGTTTTAATTGTATCAAAATTGCTTAAAAGTTTTTTGTTTTTTTTTTGTTGTGTGTGTTTTAATTTTTGTTCTGGTTTTCCTTAGCTTTTTTGGCTGTGTTCTGTTCTCGGCGGTTCTCTTGCAAATAGGTTATTGACAATTATTTGTATTCTTTATGGTTTTTTGTTTTGTTTTGTTTTGTTTTGTATACATATAAAAATTGTTTAAAGTCTGCTTAAGTCTATTTTGTACAATTGAGTTGTTGTCCTTTTGTTGTTTGCATCTTTATTTGCTGTTTGGTTCTGTATTGTATGGATAGTTGTAGATCTGTACTCTCTATAGTTTAACTTCTCTATAATGCGGTAGTCTAAGTAGTTGAAATGCAAAAATTTGACAATAGTTGTGTATAGCTTGAATACGATATTTGTGTGTGGGGGGGCCTTATACGAGTATACCATTATATTCCAATTTGTAGACACTGATTAATGGGTTATGCTATAATTATATTTTGTTTGAGAATTGTTTTGGAACCAACCTTTCTTCTTCTTGCTACCCCAAAAGCCCGGAAACCGTTGACTTAAAATTAAACAATATTTCCCAAAAGAAAAATTGAAAACGGAAAATTTGACACCCAAAAAAGTAACCAACAATCAAATATCACTTTCAGCAAGTCGATGACAAATTTTGAATTTTCCTCTCTCTCTCTCTCTCTCTCTCTCTTAATTAATTTTTTCCTTCTCAAAAATAGTTTAAAAATATTTTTCTTATTTTGTGGAAATATCCCATTTTATTTTTACAAAACTCTCTCTATCTCTCCTCCAACCTCGTGTCCTGTCCAATCCTCAAAAAAGAAATCACAATGCGCTTTGATTGAGCCTGCCGCCGTCGAAAACTAAAGACAAATTACTTTAGTATTCCCCCCCTTCCCGTCGCCACACTTCTGGGAAACATTTAGTTGCCCTTGCCAGTGGCATCAGTCACATCCGCTTGGGAGTCGGGCGCCTGTTCCTGCTGCTGGCTGCCGCTTCTGATCTCAAAGGAGATCTGTATGACCGTCGGCCGTCGCTGGCTGGAGTTGTAGCTGTAGATTCTCAGGGCATAGCAGAAGATTTGTGCCAGGAGGTCCCAGCAACCAAACTCGGACATGCTCATGGCACCCTGCTGCCGGCCCAGTGGCACGGATATGTTGGCACGGAACTGTGGACGTTGTTGTTGCTGTTGCTGCTGTTGGCTCGTCTGCGGTTGCGGTTGTCGTGGCTGCTGCTGTTGTTGCTGTTGCTGTTGCTGAGGCACGGCTCCTGCTGAAGCGGCGGCGGCCTGTTGAGCACTTTGCTGATTGCTTCTGGCCAACAATTGGGCCTGGTCGGGTATAAAATATGCAATGGCCATTTCTGTATATTTTTTTATTTGATTTATTTCGAGTTTTTCTCGCTTCACTTGTACACTTTTTTGTCAGTTTTCAGTTTTTTCTTTTTTGTTCAAACACTTTTTGGATATTTTCTGGTTTAAAAAATATTTTCCATTTGGCGGGAAAACTTTGACGTAACTTTTTGTTCTCTCGGGGAATTGCGTTTCCGGGTGCGCTGTGCTGTTGCCTTGTCGAGGGTTTAGCGTGGACTGAATGTCGACATCCTGACGGCACTCGCATTTATAAAATAGCTGAGCTCGGTCCTGCCCTCTGCGCGCTCTCTCTGTATTTCTCTCTGGGGTTTCCTATAGGAAGCACACAGAAAAGCAGAGCGCCGAGTGCTCTCGCGCTTCGGCAAATGGTAAATGTCACCCACCCTACACGAGCCCTTTGTTTATGCCAACAACCAACCAATTGAACCACCAACCACAGCCCTCACACCACCAAAAACACAACCACCACCGTCACTGTCAGCCTGCCAGCCTGCCAGCCGCCACCCCAAAAGGAAAGTCGTGCCTGCCTTGCCTTGTTACCTTTGCTCTGCGGCGCTAGCAGAGGGAGGCAGGACAGGAAGCTAGAGAGCGAAGCCAACGCTCGAGACAAAGAGAGAGCGACTCTTACGTCAAACGTAACGACAGCCACGAGCAACGTTTGCTTCAGAGGGGCACTCCTAGTCGAACTCGAATCAGGGGTTATCTTGGCAATACTCGGGTTAGCTCTTAGGATTCTTACTCTAAAAGCGGAGAAGTTCACGCAGTTCGAAATTCGATATTATACTTTGAGAGTGAATCAACAATTGTTTGGGACATGCCCCGCAGGATGGAACTTTGAAATATTTTTTTGTCTTATTTAATTATTTTTAAAATTCCAAAATAAATATTTAATAGTATTTTTTAGCTTTAAATCTCATTTAAATTCAAGAAATATTTATGGGAGAATTTGTTTTATTTATTTAATTCTTTAGTTTGAAATTTATTTAGTCTGAAATTGCCTTTCAACTTCAACCCAGAACCTCCTTCAACCCGGAAATCCCTGCACATCCAAATCTCCTTCAACTTCAACCTTTAACAAGTCGGAATCTTAACGTTTTTCCTGTTTTCCATCGATTTCCTACGTCATTTAATGTTCCCTACCGGAACAAACCCAAACCCAAGGCAACCTTCAACTTGACCAACCCCAAAGGGATACCCTAATGGGGTGACCTTCAAAGTAAATCAGAATCAGCTCCCAGCTTCGTCCTTGGCGGTTGTGTGTGTGTCTCCCCGCCAAGTGGCTCTGAGAACTGGAGCTCATCCATTAGGATAAGCATTTCCTGGATAGTTTTGCCACAGCCACAGAACCAAAAGGGGTTTAGCGTTACTCGGAGAGACTTCCCAGGGGGTAAGGACTGGGATTAGGACTCTTGTTATTCACGCATAATGCAGATGATTATAATCACAGTCAAGTCATAAACCCCTTTGGGGACGCTACGCCCCTGCTAACAGCTCCCTCCATAAATGCCATTCAAGTTGTTACATTTTAGAAAAAGATTCCGAGGGAGCCGAGAACCGAAATGCCAATCGAGCTTATTTTTCTCCCCCACAGTTTGAGTTTTTGCTTCCCTTGTTGCTAGGGGCATCGTCGTTGCTTTCAAGGCCATTGCCAAGGCCGTGTGGCTGCCAGGGAAAGCTTTTCCACATTTTTCTCACTTCGTTTCAAGGCCATGCCGGCCGGCATTCCCTCTTAGCTTTTTGTGCGTGCGACCTTGGCAATGGAATTCGTTTAGGGAGCCACAATCGGGAGGGTCTTGCCATATTTCTCCTACTTGGGCGAGTGTGTGTGCGGGTGGAACTTGACACAGTTGACAGCACGTGCTCTGTTTGAGCTTTAGTCAAGGTCGTTGGATATCGATTTACCCAACTGGCAGGGAAGCAGCTTGCGAGCTGCCTTAAAAGTTACAGATATAATACAAATGCCATGATTTTTGTGGGGTTGCCTGTGGACAAATGAGGTGAAAAGTCTTTAGATTTAGATATGTAGGAATTTATTTAGAAATGTTTAAGTTAAAAGAGCACATGTTTGGAAGAGCTAAGACTGTTTAAATAGGCGCATATTATGATTAGGGAATAAGCTCATAGGACACTTTATCAAGATGTTGTCTGAGGAACTAAAAATTGTACACGACACCTCCAGAACGTCAATGCCTGGGGCAGCCGAAACGCTCTACAGAATCCAAAAACAAAATACACAACAAAGATTGAGTACATTTTTATTTAAAATTCTGCACAAGTCTCTTTTTTATTATTACTGCAGATATTCTTATTAAATGCAATCCAGGTGTGACGTTCAGAACACCCTACAAATGGTGGAATGATGTTCGTCGCATATTTCGTACTCCAAACCTCTGCCAGAAACCCCTTGACACATCCATCCCACCTTTCGGCTCATAGGAACCGCCGCCCTCCTTTTGCCAAGTTGATTTCTTAAGCGAATTTACTCTGCCATTTTCCGCAATTAAACACAAACAACTTGGCTTCCTAATGCTAAAAGCTGGTGGAGACTTCCGTTTTGAAGCAGCAGCACGGCAGCATACACCACACCCAAATAAAATCCACACCGTCTAATTAAACAAAAGCAGCGAAAAGTCGAGGTGTAACCACCATAAATGAACATTAACTTGAAAATAATAAAAGTGAAGTACGAAGTAGATGGAAGGACTCTGCGAACCCGTTTGCTTTAGCTCAAATTTCATGGCATAATAAATGACTCGCAGACCGATGCGGGTAGAAACTTTTTCCTCTTTCACTAGCTTTTCCCTTGCTTTTCCCCTGCTTTTCCTTGCTCTTCCCTCTTCGTTGCGATGTGATGGAGTAATGAAAGCGCTGAAAGAAAAATTACAATTCACGAGCGTAGCGCAGTTATGAACTTTTCCACGGTGCTAAATAATGCACACGAAAGTGCTCCAGTCTGTCATGGGAGGGGATACCAGTGCCTTACCTGATTAACTCCCAGTGCCAGATGATGATGATGAATTTTGTATAAAATGCTTAAATACCAGCAATTTAACTTTTGTTGGGCGTCGTCCAACCTCCCCATGGTCCGTTACTCTCAGACAGCCCTTCCAATGGCAGAAGCCGAAGCCATCCAGGACATTTCAATATGCAGCTCCGCGTGTTTCTTTTAATTTAAATTGACTTCTCTGGGGTACGTCCCTTTGGGTTTTCTGTTGGGTCAGAAACTAATCAAAAAGCTATAAAAAGTTTTACCTTCAGTGGATGAGACTCGGTGGGGGAAATATTTTTGGGGAAATGGCAAGGGTTTGTCTCTAATTTGGATGGGAATTGCTTGTAGCTGTTCGAGATTTGAGATTGATTGGTAATGGATAATGGTATACGGAATGATTGGGAATGGAACATTAATGCCTAAATCATCTGACCTGCTCATTTTCCTCGTTATAATTAATTTTTAAAGTATGAAAATCTTAAATTACATTAATTACAGCCAGAAAAGTGACTTGCCATGCTTAAATGTATACCAAATATTTATACTAATTTTATAATAAGGTTTATTCCAACTCCACACATCCATCATCCAATTAAATCTGTTTTTGCATTAACTTTGTGTAAAGTATTCCGAATCATCACAACGGAATTTTGACGTCTTTAAAGTTAATGTGATTTGCGAGAGCTGCACTTTGCAGTCACTGTCATTGCAATGGTTGCTGCATACACATAATTAATTAAGGATCTGACATATACCGCCCCGGGCCAGTCGCAACCTCCCTACATTCCCCCCCCCCCCCCCCCCCATGCACCAGTTTCTTTCGCTCAGTCATCACTCTTCTGGGGTTGTCTTCCCTTTACCCGCTCCAGCCAGCTGCCCTTTTGACTAACAGAAATGTCAAAAATGCAAGTGACAAGTGTGAAAAAAGGACGAGCAGAAGAAAAACAAAAGCCAAAGGAGGACACAACGCTGGCGACGACGACGACACACACATGGCGTAGGGCGTAGGGCAAGGACAGCAGCTGTACTTTGGGTTGGATTTGGATTGGGTTTTGGGGGCAGAGGCATTGTCTGCTTGAAGACGCTGCGCGTTCGTGCAAAGCAAAATAAATTGAAATTTTAAAATGTATGAAATTAATTTTTGGCGTTCATCGCAGACACCCGCCGCCCCACGCCTCACGCTTGACTCGTGCTGATGATATCACATGATTATTTATCTTTCACGCGCACTTACCCACGCCCGACCCACCGCTCGACACATATGCAAAGGATGTGCGTGCCTGGGCCTGACACTTGCCAACAACACACACTTTGTCAACGTTTTTAGTATGTTGTCAGCTCTCTCTCTCTCTCTCTCTCGCTCTTCTGTCCTCTGTACTGCCAGTTATCCTTTTTTGTCTTAGCCTCGATTTGTGCGCTTTTAAGCCATTTGTCAAACACTTTGCCTGACATCCTGGGCGTGGGTAGTGGCCAAACAGAACTCAGCCAGAGTATTTACCACTTCGATGATGTTATGCAAAAATTTACATATAGATTAGCAAAAGGAGGAGTCGGAGCAGAGCATCGACACTCGACACTTCATGTAAGCCTTGAATGCAGGCCGAGCCCCCACACTTGTGATGATGATGATGTCTGCGATGCATAAGTGGAAATCATTAAGTGGCCCAGGCGCATCTTGTAAACTGGTGCGTAATCCTGCAGACTCTCTCTCTCTCAACCCCAGCCATGGTCAATTGTTTACAATGCGGACCAGACCTCAACACAGAACTGAACAGAAACAGAGCACAACGCGAGGAGCATTGTTGCCATTTCCGTTCCCGCTCTCTGGAGCGCATTGTTGGACCTGGGAGTTTTCGAAAATCCCCTGACAACACTTTGTGCCCTTCCACAATTGTGCAAAAAGAAAATTTCTGCGAACAATCCTTGAACAATGCAGGAAATAATTGCACTGAACGGACAGCAGTACACAGAGATGTGTGTGTGTGTGTGGGTTCTTACAGGAACATGGACACAGGCAGCAGACCTGATCTGGGCATAATGACGAGCCGCTGGATATTGGCCAACGATGATGGGCATTAAAACGCGTATGATGAGGCTTAAGTAGTCACACACACACACACACACAGACAGACATGCACAACTGGGACTCTTTAGGTGTATATCCTTTAGGCATTCATCGTCCTGGACATGTCCTGCACGAGAACTGGTTGGGTTGG